ATAGTTAAGAATGGAGCCTACTGTAGCAAAATGTTAGTTAAATTCACATTGATTAAAGTTAAATAAACATTGGTTAAATTTTATAAAACATTATTATTTATAAAGAATAATACAATAATACTGTTCCGGCTTACATACAAATTCAGCTTAAGGACAGACCTTGGGAATGGAACTCATTCTTAAACTGGGGACTAACTGTATGTGAAACATGAAGAAAACTTGATCTTTAAAAATAACTTTTGGTTCAAATGTTAAAGATACGGTTCAGTGGTATGCACTGGCCTTGGGTTTTTCTGTTTTCCTTCGTTTCATTTTGGTTTCAGTTAGTCACATTTTAACCTTATATATGCTTTAGTGGGAAAGTCAAGATCAGAAATCATGATTTGAAGACTTGCCTAAAGCCCAGTTTTGTTGTGGAAGAGATATGAAAGGGGGAACATATGACTCTGAAATTCATTCATATATTGCTAAACCCAAGTTTAACATCACATCCAAACTAGGTCAACGCTTTAGTTGGTACACTGTAGTAGTTCACAATTATACAGCAGTTCATTTCAAATAAACATATACAATTTTTATAGCCAAAGAGTTAGCCAGCTATGGAATGAAGTGGTTCATCTTACCTGTAGAGCATTACATTATATGGAAGAAAGTGAGGCAGCAGGTATTTAATAATTCGTATAGGAAGCCAAAGCATGAGCAAGACAATTGACCCAAAGACAATCTGCAACAACAAAAAAGATTCTGTAATAACCTTTCTGTATTTAGCTTTAATTTAAAGCAAATTCAAAAATGGGCATAATTCATATTACATTTTTGAGGATCACAAACTTCATCCCCCTTTATTAGCTTCTATTCTTTTATAGCTAATCATAGTTTGCCCTGACTTCAAAATCAGAAAAAAATGGTTGACAGATTTTGACAGAATCAAAACCCTATGCCAAATTATTTTTTATTCTTCTTAGAAGGACAAATATTAGTCATACTTTCCTTTGCAAACAATGTTTAGCATTGGACAGAAATCAAATAAAAGAGGAAGAATGCAAATACACAGCTAATTTTCTCTAATAATTTAAAGAACTATCAAAATTCAGGTATAAATTTGGTTATTTATAAGTGGTCTACTCACACACGCAACCACATTTATGAACCAGTAAAAGAGTTCAACTGTAACTATTTTGACACTGAAAGCATATTCTTGACTTTCCTTGATTAAAAAAGTTATTGCTCATGTGTGACACTTATCTAAAACATAAAAATAAGAAGTCAATGTAGTGCATACATTGTTAAATAACCTACAGTTGTGGGTTATGTAGGAAAAACTGAAATCATCTATGACAGCTTTTGTCAAGTTCTATTAGCGCAAGACATGAAAATGAAACAGACTGCTGGTGATTTAGGACAGATTACCACTTTTCCTTAAAATATTACAAAAAGACCTGTAATAAAGACATATTTATATATCATTTATTTATTAAATTTCCTACAGATTCAACATGACAAAAGTTAAGGTATCATTAATGTCCATTATACTTAAAAGCTGAAAGTGGTTATAGTTTGTTAGTTGATATGCTGAGTTTGGGGGAAAAAACATATTTAATTATAAACAGAATGTGAGTGTAAGATTATTTGTTGCAATAAGATTAACGCTACAGGAAAACTGGAAATGTAACTTTACCACTGACAAAATAAACCTCCTGAGATGTCTATAAATAGGCAAGTGAATCATTTCTTGAACTGGATTAAAGTCTGGATCATTTAAATTCCTCAGAAACCAGAGGACTCCAGGTCTCAGTACCTGAAAAGAAAAATTAACCCTTAAGTATTTTGAAATTATTTTTCTAATAATTTAACATTTATTTTAGAAACCTGTAATGCTCCATATCAATTTTCAGTACAATCTATACCAACCCACTCAATCTGTTGCAAACAAGAAAGCCAGTTTTGCTGCTAAGCAAATGTTTAGGGAAGGGGTGCCAGATGATTCTGATGCTGAAGGACCTGCTTCAGACACTCTGGTTGAATGTCAGCCTCAGGAGTTGGGAATCACTCAGACAGCTGAAGCTGCCTCCACCAGGAAATATCTGGAACAGCTGTGTCAGATGATGTGGATCCTAATCCTGAGTAGCCATACCGTCCCTGAATGCATCGCAAACCTTAGAAAGTTGAAGAGAGTTGCTTGGTATACCTCTTCACAGCAAGGCAAGAGTGGCACCACCCTGAATAGGTTCTCACTTGATGGCTGCCCCATAGTAGGGTGACTACTAGCCAGCAGCTCTCCAATGAGAATGATCAGTCCAATCTAGATTCTGTTTAGTACTCATGCCTTGTAACCTGTATATCCTGAACCTCTGTTTCTCTGACTCTGGACCAGCTGATAACCTTCCCATGAACACTAAAGCTTGGATCTTGATCTGACCATGCTACTTGTTGGCTGCTCTGGCTCTAGACATTTTCACAGTCAAGCTCTTGCATGTCCATAAACTTTGCTGGAGTGTGCATGCAGCTGCACATGTGCCTGCTTTGTGCGCCACTGCCTGTAATTTCCTTGTAATGCAAAGTAAACTACTTAAACCTCAGCCCCATGTGTGTGCATGGTCTGGAAGCCAAGGGAGAAAAGAATTCATTCCCAGTGAAGCAATACATGGATTTAAGACAAAAACTAAAAAAGACAATAGAAAAGAGAAAGGGAGTATGTACAGTGGGAATATCATTCCGAAGGTTAGTCAATTGCAAAGCTTTTTCATAGTTATATATATATCATATTTATATAGCTGCCCATCTCACACAAAGAGACTCTGGGTGGTGTTTTTTTTCTTTTTCATACTGCTATTAAGACGAAAGCCCAGTTGTTGTTGATGTAATCACACTATGTTATGCTAACTGTATTTATTTTAACAATCATACTGCAGTTGTGAGGTTTATTGTATTTTGTTGATTGGGCAAAAGTATTAAAAAATCAATACAACAAAGCCTAGCAGGAATTTTGACAATTTGGAGGTGGTCTTTAATTTGGAGTCTTACAACAATGGAGTAGACATCTGAGCAAAATTTTATACTTAGAAACTGATCATATTCACTGTGCAGTATTTATGCAATTAACATAGTGCAGAGCTGACAATGAAAGCAAGCAAGCTATTCCAAAGGTTCTAGTGTTTCATCAACAATATGATGGTAAAAAAGATGATGGCAGACACCTTAATCAGTACTAGTGGCACTCTACATTAAAAACTAACCACCCAAGAGCTGGTTACCTGGTAAATATAAATTTACATAAAGTCAAGCAGACTCTCATAGACTTAAGATTCTAAGCTATGCCAACAGCAGTAACTAATGGGATATCTATCAAATGTTTGACACAAAGCTTCTGAATATCTTGCCAGTCCCAGACTGAAGATTTGCCTCATTATTTGCTTCACTGTCATTTACATTTATCTGCTGGGAAATGAACCTCATGGATGACAAAGTGGTATTCTTCTCTCATATCATGTATCGCAGATTTTGATACAGGTGGCTTCTTTTCCCATGGCAGCTTTAAAATTATGGGCAACTGATTATAACGCGAATCCCCTAATTTAATATGATGTATTAACTCAACTAAGATTAACTTGACTATCTCCCAAACTTGAACACCATTCTGAGTCTGATCTTCTGATATTTAAAAAGGACCTTGATTCTTTTTTTTAGAGTAATTATGAAGTTGGAAGAACCATTCTTTTCAGCTGCAGTACCCAATTCCAGTTTAAATTATGGTAGTGCCTGGGTAAAATGATATTTGTAAAATTTTATACACACAGGTGTTATGTGTGTTTAATACTGTGTTGTGATTTTTATTAATGTCTAATGTAGCCTACTTAAATATATGTCCATATGAAATACTAATACAACCACTACTGCATCTAGCTCTAAAGCTTTACATGATGGCTTATGTCTTACATATTTAAGAAATATAACTTGAAATTTGAATAAATATAAATCCGGTACATATACAGAATCTGCTAGCTCTGTTGAACTACTAATCCTGCTTAGTTAGACCTCTATGAACAGCTTCCATTCCAACTTGCTATTTTGTGTCTGAGCTTCCTTGTTTTTTTCTCCTTTCTCCTCCCCTTTTCTTTCTGCCCTTTCTTTTCAGAGCATCAAACTACAGGCAAGGATTTTCTTGCTTTATTCATCTTACATAAGCTGGCCTGGAAACATTTTCAGTTGAATGTAACACTAATGGTTTACATAATTAAATCTGCACAGTATTTAGCCTGATTATTCCTGATCCCAATATATTGTGGCATGAAAGCCTTATTCTAATTATTTGTTCCTGAAATAATGCAGCTATCCTCTATAAAATAATTTTTGGATTGGATTAATTTGAACTTCCAATTGATTTTTTGCAAAGATACAAATGAGGAAAACAGTTATCATTTAACATCCAGTTTTTCAATGTATTTCCAATACTTACTTCTCTCAGGAGGAGAATGAAGGATGCAAAATAAAAGACATATACCATTCCCACTAGCCAGTGTAGGAACATTGTAGTGCCAGGGGCAGACTGAAAGCTCAACTCTCTATCCTTCAAAGTAGCATCAAACATTTCCTATGAAAAAGATAGCAATGATATTTTTCTGCCTTTCAATCTGGAAAAACTGCACCATCTTTCATAGTGACTCAGAGCATTTAAAATGACAAAAAACACAATCCTTTCACATGTTTTCATAATAAGAAAACATCTACAGAATCTCCATTATGACACTGGGTGGCCTATCAATTAGTATTCATACAAAATTTCAGTACAACATTGTGTGTTTAAAAATAAATTGCTTTTTGTACAAGTATACTAATAAATGATCTTCAGTATTTAACTGCTAGGCAAAATCTAAAAACTAAGTAACTAATATACTGGTATATGGCCTTAAATGCCTTATTCTATTAATAATTATAACATCCTATAAGCAGAGATTCATTCTCATTTCCAATTTACAAATATAACCTCTCTCAAGCAAGATTGTCACTACAGAACAAACTAAAACAGTGTTTTCCCCAAAAATACTAGTCTTACCAGTGAACAAATGTCCAGCCACCAGCCACAGATAAGAGGAAAAACACCTATTTCTACCACCACTAATAATGATACCTGCAAAAGAAAAAAGTCAGATGGTTGTTTGCATATACACAAGTACTGAATATTGACTAAATTATTATTTATGTTTATAAATCATGCCCGCCTTTCTGCCTACAGATTTATTTTTAGTAAATATCTGATCTTTAAGACTGGCTTACCTTGACAACTATATAGCATACGCCAAGCAAGCGACGCGATCTCTGAAATTTTACAAGCGCTGCCAAGCCCTATGTAATATGGTCAAGGAAATATAAATATTCATAGTGTAACGCTGCTTTACGGATGAGTGTTAACTCCACAGCAAATCATTTTGGTCAACGTGACCTTCTGAACCCCATACAAATAGGGTTCCAGGAGAAGTAGGCAATCTGCCATACTTTGAACACTATAGACTACGACTCTTATCATAATTCCTGACCCGAACCTTGTCCAAAATTGCAGAATGTAGGATATCTCCAACCAGAACCCCAAGAAGGCAACCCTTGAGCTGAAGGGACAAGTGAGGAGAAAAAACTCCAAGGTTTAAAATAGAACAGAATACATTCCAATCTGATGCCTAGAAATTGATGTGTTAAATAAATGTATGAATATTGACTCAGAGTTTAATTGAATAAATTGTTTATCTGAAAGAAAGTTCTGTTAAATATTTAAAGAATATAGTATTAGAAGTATTGTTCTTCTTACTAGGATGCTAATTTTTAATTATTCGTGGAGAGATATAAACACAATTTACCAAATGCTGATATTCTATAAATGAATATGACCAGTGCAAACTTATTAGTGGATATATCTTCACTACACTTAAAGAGTTCAAAAGTGAGCCAATAAAAATGCACACTTCCCCTGCAGCAAATTTTCTCCTACCATGGACTTTGCTAACATTAACATTGCCCATGGTTAAAGCCAACAGGAGTCTTCCTAACCAGTGTCTCAAACCAGGAGGTAGCTGATGGAAAGGTTTTTTTTCCTAGAGAAAACCCAGTAAGCTTAATAATGCATTAACACTGGCATAATACTGATGTCTGCGGTCAAGACAAATTGGGAAAGGTAGAGGGAGCTTGGTGCTAATGACCTAAGAACATTGAATGGAATACAATTAATTTGTCTTTTCTACCATACATTTACCTCAAAAGAGATTTTTAAAAACCTGCTAAGTCTTAGTATTTAGAGTGACCAACCAATGATCAAATATTGAGTATTTATGCAAGTAAGTATTTAGAAAGGATACATGACAAACAATTAATGAGACTGCCAGCAGCACATAGCCAACAATGGTTGTGATTAGGCCTTCAAAGTGAGAAGCTTGAACCTAAAAACCACAAACACACAGCATGTATACATGAAATAGACCACTTGTGTAAGATGACTTATAAAACACTGCATACACTGTAGTACAGTATAAACCAAGTACTAGATTTTCTGTTACATCTGTACTTCATTCCTAAATAGCTAGAATAAATTTTAACACTAATAATGCTGATATTTATCATTTTAGCTGACTGAACACTACACAACTGCTTAATTATGAAGGGTTAAACAAACATTTATAAACAGATATTTGATTTATATCCTACCTTTTTTGAAGGGAAACTCAAGGTGGCACACATAGTGCTCCCTTCCTCTGTTTCCTCCATAACAACCCTGTATGGTGGGTTGGGCTGAAACAGAGTGACTGGCTCAAAGACATTCACTGAACTTCCATGGCAGAGGGTAAACTGGATTCACAATCCCAATCAATATTCACTTCATTCACAAGCAATAATGATAATCATATTACCACCAGAAGTAGTTCAGTGAAAAGAGATTCTTATCAGGTAGAAATGTCCCTCCACTGGCTACACCATACAGGTAGTCCTCGCTTAACGACCATTCATTTAACAATGGTTCAAAGTTATGACAGCCTCGGAAAAAGTGCTTTACAACCTGTACTCACACTTACATCACAAACCATCGCACCACCTCTCGTCATGATAGTGATTTGCACCCTTTTTAACAATGGTTGTTAAGCAAATCACTGCAGTTGTTAAGTGAATGTGTGGTCATTAAGTGAATTCAAGCAAAAAATATCCATTGGAGAAGCTGGATTCATTTAATGACCATATGAGTCACTTAATGACTATCATAAAAATGGTCGTAAAACTGGGTCCAGTCACATGGTGATTCGCTTAATGACCACCCTGCTTAATGACCAATTTTACAACCCCTATTGTGGTTGTTAAGTAAGGACTACCTGAAGTTTGTGGCTACCACTAAGCATTCCCTTTTCCAAATTTCCTGGCATGTCCAGATAATGCGGATGAAAGGGGATTATTTGCTTTTCAAGAAGAAATCATTTCTTTCCTTGTCCTATATACTTCTGCTAGATATGGAAACAGCACAACTGCTGATTCTGTCTGAAAAATATCTATTATGAGAAAAATTGGGTGCCCTCTCACCTACATTATGGTTTTTGCAGAAAGGAAAACTAAAGAAATCCCACATAACATTCCTTCCCTATGTTCTTGGTGGAGGTTCTGCTTGGGTTTCTTATAAAAGTCCAGTGCACTGGATAAATATCACACTTCCTTTACTCAACAGGAAACAAGGGGAACCAGGAGGAAAGAAGGATGTTTCAGTCCACAAGTAAAACTTCTGTGGGATTAAAAGAATCACTTACATATTCTTCAAAGCCCAGCCCAACTATAGAGAAGTGGCCAATGTGATAGGGACAAAATGCTAGGAGAGAAAGAAATTGGTGATAGATGGCTCTTTTTGATAAATATATACCTTAAAACTAACCAACTGCTAATAAACAGATGTAAATAACTTTGGGTTTATAAATTTGCTACATAAACATGGTCCAAGTTATGCCAAATAATGATTTACTGCAAATGAAAAACTCAAAAACGTTTTCAGCCTGTGTCTTGTTTCGTTGTGGTCATAATTAGCTATAGCTAGTTCAAAACAAGCCAAATTCAGAATTAAGCTGATCATAATTACAATTAACCATAGTTCTCAATTCAGAAACTTGATGACTTAAAAGCAGGAATGAAAGGTACCATCCTCTTCTAGACAAGACAAGAGCCACAAGCCCAAGGTTTCTCTGTGGACCAATTATGTTTGTGTGAAAATGCAATTATTCAATAAAGCAACGTTTGATTAATACTATCTGGACCTTACTGTAGATGTTGTAAAAAGAGGCCTCAAAATGATTAGTTTTCACAGCAAAATGTTTTCTACACTTTCAGTCTGCAAGGATTATATTGGCATGTATTAGCATAAAAATCAGATACAACAAATACCAGTAGGAGTACAGTCATGCGTAAAAATTCAAAACCTTTTGATGCTGCATGTAATGTGTAGAATTATGGTTATGTAGCCATTAAAATGCATGTAGGGCCGCTATGGAATGGATATTCTTTGAGGAACATGAAAATAGCTATTTTTTTCCTAACAAAATCACATAATTGATAGTTAAAATTCATTCAGCTCTATCATAATTTGCATCCCTATGCACAGCAATTATTCTGAAGTGATTGAAAATGCAGTCACTTACCAAAGACAAGTATGAATAGTGTGTTCAATGATACCACCCAAAACACATGTTCCTGAAGAGGTGGGAAAAAATCAAAAGTAACCATATAAAACTAACATCCAAGCAATGTTTTCTTATATTCTGTTCTCATCACTCTGCCTCTAATTTCTTCCCTAATTTTTCTGCAATGCAATGTTGGCTTTTCTCAAAATTTCTATCTGGAGGTTGTACATTCACAACATGAGAAAGGTTAATACATATTTAAGTTGTCACTCAAACAGACTATTAAGGAACATTTTTTAAAAAAGCTTGGCATAGCTTGGCATTCCTAAAAAATATGTGGTATATTTAGCTGACACTGTATTCAAAAATTTAACGTATCTGGATTCTACTTGCTAGATCAGAAGGACAGTGATAACATGAGCCATATTTAACAACAACAACAACAACAATAATACACTTACCAAAAAAACTAGAGATCCATCAAGCCCAAGCATCTATAAATAAGATATAATTTTGAACTTATTAGCTAGCTTAGCCTATAATTTTCGAGAGGCTGCTAAGTTTTAAGGAACTGCTATTTCCCAACCTGTTTTCAACTTGTCAGAAAGGTGAAAAATTAAAGTTAAAAGTGACACACCAGCTGGGCTCACACACCGTACTCAACCATTAATTATGGGTTATAAATCAAAATGGCTGAGTTCACATATTATGCTAATGGAAATCAAACACTATGATTTAACACAATATGTGAACCCAATATTTTACAAAGTATCTCCTATTCTTTTGCCATTTTTAAATGGAAAAGCAGCTTCAAGAAGGAACTAGAATTAGAGAAACAGCAAAAGGAAAGAGGATACTTTATAGTTATCTTTTACTATCTTCATACACTAAATTGCTCCCAGTCTTTTTACAAAGTATATTTTCCCTTTTAAATATGCCCTTTTTTACTAATAGTATTCACTCTCTTCCTGAAACTGCTTTTTTATTATTATTATTAAAAGGGGTGTTTTGTATCTATTGTAATATATGGTTTGGCCAATATAAATTGGAAGATGAAGCTGAGAGAAAGGTTGCAGTACAGAAAACCATCCTCCGTTCCAAGCAGATTAAACTATTCGGGCTGTTTCATGATTATGGGAAAAAAAGTATTTCTGAAGTGTATAGGCCATACTCACTCTCTCCCATGTAAGCTCTTCTGCTGCTCGATCCCACTCCAAAGCATTCCAGTTCATGTCATCTACATAGAGTATTAGAAGATTGTTAGAAGAAAGAATTTTGATATATTTACTAGATTTTTCAAGAACACTGTTCATATTTGCTCCAGGCTTGCAGAGTTCTAGTGTGATGATTGGATAACATCTTGTGATGTTATCCAGGATATGTTTGAGCTTGTGGAAACAGAGGAACTGGAAAGGATTGTCTATGACAATCTATGAACACTACTACTGTACAGTGGGGCAAAAAAGTATTTAGTCAGCCACCAATTGTGCAAGTTCTC